TATAAAATTAAGGCTAAATATCAACAATTTAAAATAGGCTTGTCACAGTATAACTATATGAATTTTTTGTTCAAAATATTTGTAATTTTGAATACAGTTTATCCATCAAATCAATCGAGGTAAAAATCGGAATTACAGGAGGATTTTTTTAAATTTTGATAGTTGCACTGCATTTAGAACTGTATTTGGAACAAAAATTCCCCATGAGAATAGTTTCAAATATACACTAGAGTGGTAAACTGATCTTAAATTAAAAAAATATTGACTATAAAATAGCTAAAAATTTATTAAATAATTTCTAAAACTGTAGTGTTCTGTGAATCTTATTTTATTAATACCAACTCCCATGCAATATCTCAAGTTTCATTCTATAGTTTATTTAAGGCATTTTGGTCTAAAATGACTTAATTAAAAGTTATAACATAGATTTCGAATTTAAATTTGTTATTTCCGTTTTTTTTTAGGTTTTCATACTAGTGGTTCTAATACATAGGTACATATACCTTCCATTAAAAAAAATATTGCCTTACCTAAATTTTCGATTCGATATAATTTGAATTATGACTGAAAATATGACTTTTCACTCGAGTCCATGTTGTCACCTTTATTCTGATCACATTTTCTGGATTTCCTGAGCTCTTCCAAATATTTTTCCAATGCCTCACTAAAAATATACAAGTAGGCATTTATAACTTAGTTGTATTAAACATTAATTAATTAAAAAATTCTCGTAACAAAAAAAAATTGAAATATATGTACACATCTTCTTAAAACTTTAGATAAAATTAAGAATATAAGGATTACTACAATAAAAACTTAAGTTTACATAAGAATTTCACTTTCCAGCAAAAAAAAATTGTAACTTTACCTGTCGTAACTTTCGCAGTAGTTCGAAATCAAATACCGTATGGAACACTCGTTATAACAGCACTCTTTAATAACTTGCCTTTTGAATCGAGGTGCTGTAAAAAATGCATTTATAAATAAATTTGTTGTATTATAAAATTTTATAAAACACGATATAGGAATATACGAAAACTAATCTGTGGGAAATTGGTTTGAAGCAAAACATCAACATTAAAAAATTAATGCACATTGCTCATTAGTAGGTACTCATTAATTTATTTAATATCCCTTAAATTTTTTGGTACCTACTACTTATATATAGGTACCTTTTTGATCATAAAAATTGTCAAAATCGTTTTTTCCTCTTCAATAGAAAGAAGAGGAAAGCACAAATACCTCAAGTACTTTCATGAATTAAAAAATTACCCGTTACCCAATATCGTGAATTGAAAATAATGAAATTTAACCAGAAAATGGAATAATTGATAGATATTTTTTTTGATTTGAGGAAATTCTCTTGTGATTTCAACATCTGCCTAGAAAAATAATATAGAAACATCAGCATACATATTTTTTGACAGAACACTTTGTATATTTTTAAATATACAAAGATACGGCCAAAAGAGTTTAAATATCTATATAGTTTATTGTTAATATACTCCTTTGGCCATATCTTCCTTATTATTAGAGATAGATCTGTCGAACCTTACGTTACTGTAATCCTAGAAATGGGTTCTACACAAATACTAAATATCACTACATAAACAATGACATTTTTTATAAGAAAAACAGAAACCAAATTCAAAAACTGACAGCATTATATAAAATTAAGTTAAATAACGTTAGCTTACCTGGTGTATTGTAGACGAAACAAAAACTAGATAATATGTTCGTTAGCTCATTCCCACAAAATTTTCTTGGAAGAGCTGTAGTTATAGTTATGAGCATTAAAAAAACAAGTGCCTTCCGGAACGGCATTCCTATATAAAAGAAAATAATATTCTATAAATGCACCTAATTCAAATTGAAAAACATCGCATTAATATGTGCTTTGATTTGTAAAACCTTATTTTGAAAATATTGTTTTGGATTCATTGTTTCACAATGTACGACGTTTATGAACGAAAATTGAAATGAAAAAACTATATTATAGTTTGTTTTTAAAAAAATGGACAATAAACGAAAATTATTTTTTGAACAAGATTATAATTAACTCACCTGGGCAAGAAGTGGTATATGTGTATAAAGAAATAACAAGAATGTTAAAAGCTCCGCTAGAACCTAAACTCAAAACTCAGATCCCAGCAGGCTACTAGTGGGGCACACTTCTCTTATCCTGCTATTTAAGGAGACTCTGGTAGCGACACTGCTTCAAAGCGAAGACTTTTCGATGTTTGCTTTGGCCGGTACCAGTGCATATAAGGAAGATTTTTTTAACTCGAACGCGACTTTATTTCTCTGTCTTATATACAGGGTGCCTCACAAAGAAGTGAGGGGACTTTCCTCGGGCTAAAATAATTAAAAAAGTTTATATAAAACGTTGATCTAGAAACGCCCGTTTTCAAGATATTAATTTCTAATTCTTTTGAAAAAAAATTATAATTTAGTAAATAGCTTCAAGAGCTCGTAATTAGAGTATCACACCATGCGTTTATTGGCTTCCCAGAATACATAACATCGATAAAACATTTTTACTTTTTTTGTATAACTATGTGTATAAACAAAAAAACAAATGCAGGGCTTTAGTTCCAGCGGTTGTGCTTACTTACCTGCATCAAATTACTTTCACACAATTTGCAGTAGGTACCCAACTGGCCAAGTTGATCTAAATAAGAATGTGATCTTAAATTGTAACACATAACAATGAAACAATAAACTTTTTGTTGACGTTTAGCTCCTGCTAACTTCTTTCTATGAGCATATTTTAAAAATGCCACTTTTTAAATTATAAACAATGAGTTTAGGTTATCTGAAAGAGAGAATCATTGCTGAGATCAATGTTTCTCCAGCGAAATGTTTGCCAAAACTTATATGAAGACGAAAGAAACTTTGCAAAGAGCAGTTTCGAAGTAAGTGGCTCCTAAAACGTTTAAACATCAATCGAACTATTTTAAGACAATTTTTTTTTTCATTTCATATAGGTGTACTCATCACATACCGAGAATTCATTTTATGATATGCGTTACAATGAAAGTAGTATTTATTTCATTTTAAAATGGGATCAAGTGAAATTCACCTAAGCTTACAAGTCAAAACAAAAGATTTTTAGTCATATCTATATATTTTCTGTATTTTCTTCCATTTCCAATTATTTCTTTTTACACGTTTGTATCCACTGTCAATTGTACGCCACTGGTCAGAATTTTAGCGCAACACAGGGTTTGCTGCGATACGTTACCTGTACAAAATTTTATTGCTATCTCTTAGTAGATTGGTAATATTATTACAGAAGTAATAATTTAGCCCAATTTACATTTTATCAAAAATAAATCCAAATTAGGTAACTTTAACCGGAAAAAGGCGATTCATTTTAGTATCCATTAATTGTGTGATATTCATTTCCTGAAAACTTTCGTATAAATGGAGGGTAATTCTTAATAAAAACATGCCCTTTGTTCAAATCCGTTACGTCGTTACTTATTATCTAATAAAAATGATGTAAACATGTGTGCCACTATTGACACATTCCGATTAGCTTTTAAAATAACAGTTGTTTGTCTAGACATCAAGATATATAGGACCCAAACTCAAACATTCTATAAATAGTTTATATAAACTAATCGAAAGAAAAAAATATTTTTATTTACTGTACCATTTATTGTTCATTTTACTATCTCATGGCGCTTTGTGTAGTATGGCCTTTAATCTATGGCTTCTGGTCAAAGTTCGAGATGTTTTATAGGTAAAACAGATTTTATCCAGGAAATGAGGTGTTTTTCCTATTTGATAAGAAATCTACTATTAAACGACGTGGTGTTTGTTGTGCCACTATTCTTTCGTTTACTTAAGTTACATAACGAAAGAAATCCGCCAGATTGTTTGTTTTCCAATAAAGGGCGCATACCTATTAATTTCATGTAGGTATAAAAATAAATAAGTTGAGTTATTTATAGTTTTTCTAAACTTAACTAATTATTTTTAGTTTTTAGTACTTATAAAATATAGAGCTAGAAGATAAACAAATTATTATAAAATACCTGCATGTACGGTGTATTCCAATTGTAGGTACATATCTAAAAAATGGCACCTAAATACTTATTTTTAAAGCGACCCCCAAAGGAACCATTAATTTCCCCTTCTTGAATTGCAAATTTCACTTACGAAAAAATTTATAAAATTTAATAACATCACTGTTACTCAATCTACAGTGATTTTTTTAATTACCTATTAAATATTAATTTGTAAGAAAAAGCGTAAATTTATCGTACAAAAGTGCAAAGTACTTTTTCTTCATCATTAATTCCGAAAAGTGTAAATGAAAAAACATAAAGAAAAGTTATTGAAATGAAGAATAAAGTTCTTTAGGCTTATTAAAATCTTTATTATTATTAAAAATTTTATTATTACAAATATTTTTATTACTATTAAAATTTCTTTAAAGATGATTACATAATTTTTATTGTTTGCAAAGCTCCTTTCACTGTAAATTTAAAATATTATATCCAGATATTTTAATAAGTTCGTTAATGAGGACTATTTGATAACATTGTTTGTCGATCGTGCTCCTCTACAAATATTTTCGTCTTGCAGCAAGGGGGACAAAGAATTAAGGAAATTAAAATAAATATTTATAACTATAATGTTACATTAAAGATACCAGTAATCTAAATTTTTATCAAAATTACAAAAAAAAAAGAAATAAAGTATTCACTGCATCATTTTCTAAACAGTTGCATGTGTAGGTAAATATCCCTTTTTTCAATGTTAATGTATTAAATTACATTTTTTAATATGTGGGTGTCCAAAATAGTTAAAATTGAAACTTATTTATCATTTAATACACTAAATATTATTTATCGATTATAGTAGCTCAGTGTATTAAAGGGCCATAATTTTGGGAACATTTATTATTAACGTAAGTCTTCTGTAATTTCAGTTCTATGATTTTGTTATTTGAACTGCCTCAGAGTTTATGGTCTCTGTGTTCTAAGTCAATGGCGTTAACCTCAAATCTACAAAGTTTGTTTACGTTTTGTGGTTTAATTTTGAATTAGAAAGAAAGTTGAGGTTTAATTTATTTAAAAACCCAGTACTAATTTAATTACCTATTTCGTTGAAATAATTTACTAAAATGCTTGAGGGTTGGTACTGTAGATCTCTTGCTAATGAAGCTGCGGCTGCTGAAGAAGAGGAGCGAGCTTTAGAAGAATCCAAATTCAAAAAGGAATATAAATATTTGAAAAGAAAATTTCAGAATTTAGTATATGTAAGTCACAGTGTTATGTGTTAATCATCAGTAGTTAACTTTTTATTTTAAAGGAAAATGAAGCTTTCCAGCAAGCTTTACGAACAGCACAAAAAAGGCTACTAACAGTTACAAGAGATCGCACCTTCTTATTGGACAGACTATTGATGCATGAGAAGGTTGAGCACAGTACTTCAGAATCGGAAGAGACAGAATCGTCTGATGATGGGGAACCTACTAGATCAGAACCGATAAAAAAGTAATGGACTATCATATAATTACTAAGAATAACCAAACTTATTTTTGTTGCTATTTAATACTGAAAAGCATTATCGGAAAACAAATGTAATCACAAATATGTAGTATTATGTTTCAAGTGGTATCTAAATTTTAGAAAGAAATTTGAAGCAGGATCTAATCTTCATCATATCAGTTCAGGAAGAGTCCTGCCTATCGCAAAGAAGAAGAGACCTCCGGCGCCTCGTCCCCCGAAACAAATTCAGCAGTCTATGGTAAATTTCATTGACATAAAGTTAGATACGGGATAGTTAGTGAATATAACATTTTTAGCAACTTCAAATGCCAGTAAGTAACGCAAGTGTATTATCTGATGGACACATGACCCCTGAGGAGGTCGAGAGACATTTACAGTCTCAAAATTTTATGGAATTTGTTCCCGAAAGGGCCCCCCCAACAGTCCCGACAGAGATGTTTAGTAATGAACCGTCATTAGACAGGTAAGTGATATTTTGTGCATATAATTCGTACATTGAAACGTAAAGTTCAATATTTAGTGTTTTTTTTTAGTTATATAAATTTTGGGAATATTGAATATGTTAAAATTATTATTGAAACTAGGGTTGCCAACTGTTTTATTTTAACACGGAGACTTCGGATTTTGGAGCCATTACCTATTTGAACTTTGAATTTCATATATTCGAATTCATTGAAAATTATAATCGTGGACAAAAAGTTTGTGGAACCACAGTTAGGTATAAGTATTGAAATTTATACTCATACATGTATCTGTATATTTATAGACTTAGTTTACTTGTAATGTGCATATAAAATGTCTAAGGCAGGGATCAGCAAGTAATTTTAGGTGGAGTCCGGATACTTTTGAAAATTTTTAACAAGGTCCAGAAAAAACTCCGATTCCTTATTAATTTTTTATTTTAATTTGCACTCACAAAATAATATGAAATAGGAAGAGATAGGCATATTTGTATTCAAAAATCAATGGGAGAAATTACATTTGTGGTCTTGAATCAGTTTTTTACTAACCTACTAACCATTAAAAAATAATAATTTTGCTCAGAAATGTGTCTTATTCAGGTACAAGAATAGTACAAATTATATGNTAATAGTATAGGGTGCCCCATTAAGGTCGGCGAGATAGGATATTAGGGATTTTTTTTTATAAATCGACCAAGAGAAATTGCTGAAAATAGTTTTCAAGTTCGTAGCTCGGCCGCTAGGGGGCGCAACCTACATACCAAAACATAAAGTTCAATTTTGCTCAGAAATGTGTCTTATTCAGGTACATTGAATAGTACAAATTATATGGATCGCCGGTTTCATTGCTCATAACTTTTGTTATTGACATCTTGTTCTATCTCTATCGACATAGGGGTGGGGGAAGCCCCTAATGTCTGATCAGAAAAATTCATTTTTTTTAAGGATTGGCTCATTAAAAGCCCATTGTGTTATACCTCTTTGGAAAGGTCTTTTCATGCTTTTTCTCGTGGTGAATGCGTAATGTCATTTACCTCAATATGGAAACCTATAGACTGTGGTTATTTCAAAATAATGCCGTTTTATGGATTTTTCTCAAAAATTTTAAATGCAATGCATTCTTAACATAAATGAATTCAGCACAAAAAATTGATGAATATAGCAGAAGTTTGAAATTTCTAACGAAAGTGTTGTTTAACTGGTTCAAATTTTCTTAAAAAAGTTAAATAGCAGGATAAAACTTTATATAGTTAGTTAATATAAAAATGAGCAAACAATAAATAGTGACAATGAATTATGAACATGACTAACATTTAATTACCAACACAAAATGCGTTTATAAAAAACATACCTAAACCCACGTTACGTTTCTAACTCTGTTGGCTCAGCATCAGTTTGCCTGTCTTGTATTTTCCGGAGTAACAGTTTGAAACACAATTTTTTAGGTTCTTTTATGAAAGCATTTTGTTTTGGGACACCCTGTATAGATGTTGGCAGCCCTATAGCAACCTTGACATACGATATATTTTTCTCACATTACAAATGTAAAAATTGAAGGAAAATAATTAATTCATTGAATTATATTTATTTATTATTAAAAATATAAACAGGAACATTAAATTAATACGTAACAAAATACATGCAAATATTATTTTACAGAATTTTTAAAATATAAGTATAATATGGCATTAAATAAAACAGTATTTTTTGACCAATATTTTTTACACGTTTTTATGAATACTCATACTCATTTTAGTGAATCCAACGACATTGGAGAACTAGAAACATCGCCCAGTAATATGGGAGAAGAATTAAGTATTGATATGATCCCAGAATAAATACTGAAGTTACGTTACATTAATGTAGGTCTTGTTTGATTTTGTGATTACTGCCGTTATTAATATTAGTTTTTATAAAATAAAAGATTTCCTATTTGCGAAACCCCAGTTAACACAAAAATATATAATTAGAGTACCATCCTTGACCTTTTTTTTAAACCATTCCAAATTTCCTTTGTCACAATTCACGTCAAAGATAATATCAATATTTATTTGTTAACAAATACATTTGAACAGTTAGAGTATTTATAGGAATATATATTATCAACGTTAATAACACTTGCTTCAAAATAAAAACAAAAGCTTAAAATATGAATCATCTTAACGTTTTTTATCTGTTGGTTTTTTAATGGACATAAGCCTAAATTTGAATGGCAATTCTCCATCCCTATTTAAAAAACTTTTAATTGATAAAAACGACAGCACGACACATTTTTCTTTTGCAAATAGGTCATTCGCATCAACAGTATCATTCTCGCATATTTCTGTAAATTTTAGTTTTCTTACAGGGCCTAAGTGAACCTCAAATTCATAATAATAATTTTCGGCTTGCTTTTTGGTTCCAATGAATTGAAACAACCAATACGCCTTTTCTTTTTCAATATCCACCTTGTGCTTATAATAGAAAAAATGTTTGCCATTTAAAAATGAAATAATTTGAACGTCCGAAAAATCATTCTCGAATGATATTTTCATGTTAGCCTCAGTACGAAATTCCATCCATGTGTGATTGTTGTGGTAGTCTTTAAAATGCTTATAAATATCGTCGTATTGTCCCGACCACTCACATTTCCAGTTTGAAAACTTTTTCCCTTCGCATGAAAATTTTCGAAATTTACATTCCAGCTCGTGTGCTTCCTTTTCACTTTGGCTTAGTACAAATTTGCAGCCTTTCGATGAATAATAGCAATTAAGTTTGACACTTTTCTGAAGTTCCTCAATCATCTGCTCCATTTGATAGCATCTCGTATTCGTCATAGAACTCCTGCATGTGGGGCACTGCTGAATACTGTTCGCTAATATGCAATTTCCACACATGTTATGTCCATTTGTGCATTGCAGTATTGGTTTAGTTAGAGTGTCCAGACAGATTGGACACATCATAATTTTTTCAAGCTGGGAAGACATTTTGTCTAAAATAAGAATAATTTTTCTATTACAGTAAATGTTTATTATCGAAATGAAAAAATTACCAGGACAAAGCTAACGCATATATGTGATGCAAGAACGGGATACGGTATAACTCTCTCTGAACTAATTTCGTTCTTCCATCAGTCTATAGTACGAGAAAAGTGATTTTATCTGTAGGGTTTCCGTTAAGCCAACACTGAGGAAAAAGTACATTTATAAACCTATATGTAATACGATTTCTAAAAAAAAATTTGTCATCCCTTTCTCACGCTATCTAAATTTTTGTCAAGGCTCTTATCTACTGTTTTAGGGGAACTCCCCAATTTTATTTAACACGTTCAAATAGATAACTATTTTGTAGGGAAAATATAATTTTAAACACTGAATGAAGTGAGAAGAGTCATATATTAACCTATATAGATCGAGAGTGGTCCCTTTTTACTTGAAGACCTCTAAATATACTTAAATACTAGCTAAATCGTTTATAATGTCAACACAATTATTGCATAGAAACCTCGATACAAATTTATATTTTGTTCATTTAGTGAGAAGAGATTGAAGGGAACCTGGATTTATAAAATATAAAGTACACAAAATATTTTATACACACCTATTGCCTATATTCTGACTAATGATAAATCGAGAAGTTCGTACTGGATTCCTCACAATTTTTTATAATCAACTGCAATAAAGATAAGTGTTTTAACGTATGCAGCAACTTCCGTTAATTATAAAAATACTAAATTGTATGGAGAAACACTTTCTTAAAATGGCTTACCTTGCATAAATAATTAATTTTCAAACAAATCTAAATGCAAACATTAAATTTTCTTATCATCTATATACTCTACAAACACAACCTGCTTTATAAACACAAATTGACGACAACCAATTGAATTGAACTAACTGAAGGCTAAAAACAGAAATCAGTGAATCCCAGAACACAGATTAAGCAAATTCAGTGAGCTTTGGCATAGTACGTTCCCTAATTATAAAATATGTACGTATGGAGTTCAGAATACGTTCTAAATAGTTTGCAACCATAAAAATATTATATTTAAACAAAAATTATTATTACAAAAGACTTTTTGTTTTGTTAGTATACTAGCGAAGTTATTTGTGGTATTTGCCGTATTTGCCTTCTAAATCTGAACATAGGATATTAAAAGAAGACAATGCTAATTATCAGAATAATGGGAATAAAGATTGAAGAAAATAAAATTTACCATCAATAGCCTGCTGACGAAACCATTTGAATTTTAGTTAGTAAATTACTTCAAACCAGTTATTTTTTGTCAACGAATGACTCCGAATCAACCCAATACATCACGTTTTGGCCAAAGGTTAAAGGTAAGGACGTTAAAGGCAATGCATTTGACACAAAAAAGTAACTATGTACATCAAGTTAAAAACCACTTGAATCGTTGTCAAAAAATTATATCATTTTGATGTCAGCTAGCACTGGCATTATATCACATGATTATTAAAAATTTTAAGTTTTCCACGACTAACCGCGCCGTTATTCCATTGCTACAAATTGGCCTCAATGATTTGGGATCGAGGGGGATTATCCCTCTTTATCCTGCCTCATCTCGTGTAGGCCTGGACAGCCTTCGTAGGTGGGCCCCATCCGTCGTCTACCCCGACCGCAAATGCGGCCGGTGTAGGCGCTTTGTGGGACCTCCTTTTGTCCTGGCTGGGCCCCGCCGGCTAGGGCCCTTTCTTCTGGCGCTCTTCTTGCTTCGCCGGCTCGTCTGTGTAAACCCCGGGGGTAGTGTCATGTTTATG